ATCGGCAGGCGGACTCTCAACCACTGCACCACCAGGGAAGCCCAGGAACAAAATTTTATTTATTTTCTGGCTGCATCGGCTCAGTAGTTATGGTGTGCGGGCTTAGTTGCTCCGCGGCATGTGGGATTTTAGTTACCCGACCAGAGATCGAACCGGTGTCCCCTGAGTTGCAAGACGGATTCTTAACCACCACGGTTAAGAATCCATAATTTATAAATTTTAAATTTATAGTGGGAGGTTATACCTCATTCAGAGTATGATAGATCAAGCTAACAAAAATAATTAAAGGTAAGAAAGATCTGAAAATTATAATCAATAAGCTACATTTAAAAGACATAAAAAGAAATTTGTATCTTACAAGCAGACTCTCTACTCCTATGTCCTTGCAACATTAAAAAACATTCAATTGTCTAACTTTGCCTCAGAGAAATGATTGATATATTTTTTAAAAGTAGGGCTTTGGCAGATCACATTCTCTGATAAGAGCCAACAAAAACAAAAATAAATTAAATATTACCATAACATCTTAACCAGCTGAAAATTAAGAAATACTTTCCAAAATAAATCAGGACTAAATGGGTCTATAGAGTCCGGTTCGTAGAGAAAGATGGAAGTTTCCCAATTTATTTTTTAAAAGAGAATAATTTTAATACCCAAACTGAAATATATTGCTCGAAAAAGAAGATAACTAGAGGCAATATTTCATGAATATAGCTAAACTTTTCTAAATAAAATATCCACATATCAAATAAATCCAGATATGTTTTGAGAAAAAAAATACACCATAACCATTAAGATGATTCCAGGAATGCTAGTATGGTTTAATATTTGTAAATCAATCGATATACTTCATTACACCAACACTTTAGAAAAGCCATGTAACACTATTAATTGATATAAAAAAGTATGTGATACAATTCATTAGCCATTATATTAATAATAAAAACTCAAAATAGAAATAGAAGGAAACGACTTAAAATTGACAAAACCATTTTCCAAAAATTGCCAGAAAGTTTTATACTAAATGGTAAAATGAATAAAATGATTTCCATTAAAAGTGACAACACCATAGGGATGCTCTCTATCACATCTATTACTCAACATTAATTTGAAGGTTCTATCTCAGCATTGTCTGATACAACTTTCCACAATGATGACGTGTTCTATATAGAGAGAGCTGCCTAATACAGTAGCAACTAGCCGTATGCTGCCATTGAGCACTTGAAATGTGGCTAGGTGACTAAGAAACTGAATTTTAAATTTTATGTAGCTTTAATAAATTCAAATTTAAATAGCCATGTAAGCTTAGTGGTTACCATATTGGATAGCTAATTCAGTGGAAAAAGAACTAATGACATCAAATAGCAGATAAAAGAGAATATTAACTAAATCTGATTATACAATTAGAAAACCTAAGAGACTATACTAAGAAGCTACCAGAATTGGTAGGGAATTTTGATAAGGAGCTGAATATAAGATAAAATTTTAAAAATACGTCTTTTCTTACAATGCTAGCAGTTAGCAGACAGGATTAGTAAAAAGAAGTCTTAACAATAACAATAAAAGTATTATAAATATCTAAGAATCAATTTAACCAAACAAGATGATGAACTTATAAGAAGAAAACTATGAAATATCATTGAAGCATATAATACAAGACATAATCAGAGACAGATCAAATCCCTAGATACAAAGGCTTATTATAATAAAGAGCATTAACTCTCTCCAAACTATTAACATATTGGGGTGGCCAAAAAGTTCGTTCGGGTTACCCAATAATACAATTCCAATCAGAATAACAATAGTTTTGTTTTGTGGAGGGTTTTGTGGGGTGCATAGCATTCATTTTGAAACTTCATAAAATGATTCTAGGGACTTCAGAGTTCCTAGAAAAATAGATCTGCAAGAACAAAAATCCTTTGAAATCATATAGATTATAGAGACACAATAGAGTTCAGATCAAGCTAAATATATTTGTGACCTTATATGACAGAAGTCACATTTAATTCAGTGCTATAGGGCAGTAACTTCCATAAACCGTGCTAGCTGATAATGTTGGATTTTACCTGAACCCTGTGATTCTGGTAAATAGTGAAGGTTAAGAAATTCCCTTACTCTTTTTTTTTTTCATTTATTTAGTTTTGGCTGCGTTGGGTCTTCGTTGCTGTGCGTGGGCTTCCTCTAGTTGTGGCAAGCGGGGGCTACTCTTCATTGCGGTGCGCGGGCTTCTCATTGTGGTGGCTCCTCTTGTTGTGGAGCACAGGCTCTAGGCACATGGGCTTCAGTAGTTGTGGCACTCGGGCTCAGTAGTTGTAGCTCGCGGGCTCTAGAGAACAGGCTCAGTAGTTGTGGCGCATGGGCTTAGCTGCTCCATGGCATGTGTGGGATCTTCCTGGACCAGGGATTGAACCTGTGTCCCCTGCATTGTCAGGCGGACTCTTAACCACTGTGCCACCAGAGAGATCCTCCCTTACTCTTTTGTGTTCTTGTGTGTTACTCTTTGCTTACTGCAAAGAACCTCCCTTCCCTATATGACTTTGGACTCACAGACGCCCCTTGTTTACCTGTGACATGACCAGACACAGACCCTCCAAATTCTCATTCTTTTCCTTATAAACATTCATTAATCTCAACAAAATGCTTGTTAGCCAAAATTTAGCCAAGCTTCTCTCCTTCCTACAGGTTCCTGAACTCTGCTTGCCCCCAAGCCTGAGCAAGCACAAAAAATGTGGAATGTGCCCCTCTTCTCAGCTTGTCCTGGGAATCAGCTGACCACAGTGGGCACTTTCCTGTCAGACCCCATTAGTCATTCCCCTGTTTGTGCAGCTTCTCCTCCACAGATTCTGCTTATCTTGGCTTGCCTCCTCCTTACCCTATCTATAAACAGAAAGCCTTTTTCTGTTCGGTTTTGAGATGCTTGCAGATTTCTGAGATGGGAATTTTCTCCCTGTTGCAATAGTCTTTCTTTCTAATTAGTCTCTCCCTATCTAATTCTAGATTTGTTTTTATTTGATGCAGCAACAGTAAAGCTTGACCTTGATCTCATACCATATACCAGAATAAATTTCAACTAGATTAAAAGTTAAAGTAGAAAAATTTAAAACAATAAAAATGAAATAAATGTTAAGACTATCTTTTTAGGACTACCTGGAATGGGGACCATACAAGACAGGAAATACAGAAGCCAGAAAAGAAAACTTATTTTTGATGAAAAAATACATTTTTCTAATTAAAGATCAAAGGACAACTACAAATGCAAAGGGCAAAAAGAGTTAGGGGAAAAATATTGCAATGCCACTAACTAACAAAGACTTAATAATATCCCTAGTGTACAAAGAGCTACTACAAATTGATAAGAAAAAGACAAATCACTCCAAAGAAAATTGGACAAAGGATATGAAGATTTGCAGAAGAGAAAATCTAAATGGTCAACAAACAGAAAAAGATCTTCAGTTGCACAAGTAGTCAGGAAAATGCAAATTAAAGCAGTTAAATTAGTCCTCTGATTGGCAAAAATTAGAGTATCAACATTCAGTGCTAGAGAAGATTTGCCTTGATGGACTCATATTTTGCTGGTGGGAGTAGGAAATGTTAAAAATCTTTTGGGGAAGTTATTTGGCTGTATCTATTCAACAACACAATAGCCTTACTTGTATTTAATAATAAAACTTAAAAATATAGGAAGCAAAAGTTGACTGGTGAAATGAAACCCTGACTTATCAATACAGTGGGAAATCTCAGTAACTCAGGGAGCAAGCAGAAGAAAATCATCAGGAATGATATACACATTTAAAAAAAATTTTATTGGAGTATAGTTGATTTACAGTGTTGTGTTTCAGTTGTACAGCAAAGAGGAACAATATACACATTTTTAACAGCCCAACTAACAAGCTTGAACCAATAAACATATACGCTAAACCCAACTATTGGAAAATATATGGTTTTTTCAATCAAGAGATGAAACATTTTTGAAAACTTGGCCTGTGCTTGAACCTTAAGGCAAATTTCAACAAATTTCGACTCAACATCATTCAGACAACATTCTCAGATCACAGTGCAATTAAGTTAGAAATCACTAACATCGAGATTAACTTTGTGTTTGAGGAAATGAAAAATGGTGTTAGGAACTGTAAAATTTTCTGCACTCCCTCTAAGTTCCTTCTTTAATCATTAAGTATGAGAACAGGATACAACAGAATGAGATGGGCCAAATCAAAAACAGCTCCCTTCAGCAGCATTCCACCTGCGGACCACCAAACTTGCAGCTAGCACTTGGCTGCTTTTGTTTCCTTCTATGAAATTCCTATCCAATATAAAACTCTCCATGCTCCAGGAGACACTGCGCAGGGCTGTTCTTGTCGCAACAGCCTGAATAAAGTCACCATTCCCTTGACATTTGAGTCTCGGAGAATTTTTGCATGTTCGACACTGGACTTCTAAATAATTCTTGGGTCAAAGGGGGGAAAATTACAAATTAGCACTTGAAACTGAACACTAATGAAAATGCAACAAATCAAAACTTGGATCTTTGGAAAAGAAGTTTAAACTTCATGCTTCTATAAGGAAACTGGGAAGGCTGATTACTCGAGTTTTTAAAAAATTGGATGACGTGCCCCACCACTGATGTCACAAGCCCCCCCCCCCCAACGCCCAGCTCAATGGCTCCCTGCACAGATGCTTGGTTTCTGGCGCTCTATCACCTCAGCTCCCTGCGCCCAGAGTGGTTAAACTCTCGCTGCGGGCGACTTCCGCTTCCTGGCCTAAATCTGACACGTACTATTCCCCCCGTGGCAACTACCCAGGGTCGGTGACAGCCAGAGCCGGGCGATGCCCCCAGCCGACGGGTGGACAGAGGCGCCGTCAGGTGGGCACGTAGCGGCGCCCCGGGCCCTGCCGCCGCGAGCCGCCTGCGCCGATCGGGGGCCGTTCCGCACCCCGAGAAGTGGAGCGGCGGCTGGGGCGGGGGCCGGTCAGTGTCTTGTGGTGTCTTTCTAGCTAGGATCGGGGAGAGGGGCAAGGGGGGTTGCAACGCGCGAAGATGCCGCGATTCCCCGGGGATACGGCCTGAGGGCGGGGCCCCGAGCACAGAGAAGGGAAGGCGCCAGGCCCGCGCCTCGGGGTAATGGTGGAGCATGAGGCGCAGGAGGGAGGAGTCCGGGATCTGCAGCCCGATCTGCTGGGCCCGATCGGCTCCCGGGAAGCCCCACCGGGTAAGGTCTGGCGGGGGCCCGCTGGCTCCGGCGCAGCAGAAATGCCCACCCTCCCAAGATGGCGACTCCCGGAGAGACACTCCCAAGGGGACAGCCATGTTAGTGGCCTGACAAAGTCACTAAAGAAAATCGGAAAGCCCGCCTCTCCTCCGACACACACAGACACGCACACGCACTGACACCTCGTGAGTGCACCCAGTGTAATTGGGGGCTAACGGCCGCTTCCGCGCCGACACTAAGCATGTGCGATGCGAAGTCCAGAAACGTGGGAGTCCCGCAGAGGCAATTTCAATACTTCTGGCTCTGGGACTGAGTTTAACAGAGGCGGCGATTTAGGGCCAGTAAAACGTTGACATAATTATGGGGGTGTTACGACATGGCTTTCGGGCTCAGTGATGGTACTCTGTGGGGTGAGTGATGGGGCTTCTCTGGAGTCACTTATGAGGAGGTGCGTAGAGTGATAGGGGTTTGTGGGTGAATGGTGGGGGCAGTAGGGAAAGTAATAGGTAGTCTGTGGGGTGAGTATTGGGGGGTCTGTGGGGTCATAGTGATGCAGGGTCTATAGGGTGAGCAGGGGGCATTGGTGAAGTGAGCGATGAGGAGTCTGTGGGGTGAGTGATGAAGATCCTCGGAGGCCACTGATGGGGTATGTGGAGTAAGTGACTGGGTCTGTGGGATAAGCGATGGAGGTTTGTGGGGTGAGTGATCAGGCGTAAGTGCAGTAAGGAATGGGGACTGTGGTGTGAGTGATACAGTCTTGGAGGTGTGATGTGTGCTCTTTGGGGTTAGTGCTGGAGTCCCTGTGGGGCGAATGATGGGGGTTCTGTGGGGTGTCATAGGGAGTTAGTGGGGTAAGTGATGGAGGGGTCTGTGAGATGAATGATGGGAGTTCAGTGGGGTAAGTGATGAGGGTCTTTGAGGAGAGTTATGGGTGGTCTGTGGAGTGAATGATGGAGAGCCTGTGGAGTGGGTAATGGAGAGTGAATGAGTGAGTGAGATAGAGAATTTTTGAGGTGAGTGATGAGGGCCGCGGGATGAGTGTTGCAGGGTCTGTGAGGTATATGATGGGGTTTATTGGGTGGATGGTCAAGGTTTCTGTGGTGTGAGTGATGGAGCTCTGTGGGTGGTCTTAGGATTGAGATGGGATTGTTTCAAAAACCTACCTTTGACCTTCTTGGTCCTCCTGTATCTTTGTTTTCTGTGTCATTAGTTTCTGCCCTTGATTTCATTATTTCTTTTCTTTGGGTTTTTTCTTTTATTCTTATTTTTAAATTCCTAAATTGAATGCTTATCTCATTAATATTCAATCATTTTCTTTTACAGTATAAGCATTAAGTTCATGAATTTTTCTCTAAGAACACTTTAGCTCCATGTCACAAGTGTTGATATGTAACATTTCCACCACAGTTTATTAATAATGTTTTCTAATTTTTGTTGTGGTTTTCTCTCTGATCCCTTAGTTATTTAGATATGAGATTTTCATTTCCCAAAAAGTTGTAATTTTTGTTATTGATTTCTAAATTATAGCCAGAGACTGTCATCTGAGTGATTATTAGGTGCAGGAATGGATGTTCCTTGAAGTGGATGGTATGTACTGAAATTTAAGTCCAAAACTTTTGTAAAATTGCAACTCCCACCAGCAACATATAAAAGGGCTCATTCCAAAATCATCTCCCACACTGAATGTTGCTGCACTTTTTAATTTCTGCCATTCTGAGGGCCAAACACAACAGTATGTAGCTTACCTTGATGTGCATTTTCCTGACACCTGGTGGCTGAATATCTTCTCATATTTATTGGCCTTTGAAATGTATTTTTAAAAATTTTCATATCCTTTGGTCTTTTTTTTTTCCTTTATGTAGTTTGTCTTACTAATTTGTGGATATTAACCTTTTGTCATTTATTGTAATTTTTTCCCTTTATCTCTCTTTATATCTTGATTTTTGAAAGGTGTATTCACATATAATTAGAAAAAATAATTATCTGATTAGGTAATTTTTCCTTAACAAGTTCTGAATATCGTGTCTTGCCTAGTGGGTTCTCCCTGCTTTGTGCTTAAATAAATACATGCTTTAAATTTAAATTTTTATTGTTTTAAAGTTAAATTGTAATCCAACTGGAAAATTCTGGTGTGTGGTGTGAGATGAGATCAAAGTTTCTACTTTCCATTTGGATAGAAAATTTGCCTGCACCAATCATTAAATAAATAGCCTTTTCTAACTCAGTTAAATGCCACTTTTGTCACATAAATTCCCGAATGTATATCATTCTATTTCTGAACTCTATATTTTCTTCTGATATATGTATCTACTCCCTTTCAAAAAATTGTTTTGACTTTAGAAATACTTTTAATATTGAATAGTGCTAATCCCCTCACTGTTCCTTTTTTTTTTTTTGGTTGTTTTCTTTAATCTTTTTTAGCATTTATTCTTCCACATGAATGTTAAAAACATTTTATTTCACTTCAAAAGCAACCATTAAAACTATATTTTATAATTTTCTTCTTATAGATTCAGAACCTTTTTTGAAAAGTTCATTCTTAAATATTTTAAATTTGATATCATCACAGTGAATAGCACATTTCTCTATTTCCATAGAAAAATTATATAAATTAAAATTTTTTAATTTCTTTTTTGCATTTTATTTCTTATCCAGTCCAGTTATCACATTCTCATGTGAATTCTAGTTGCCTTTTATGGTCTCTTAGTTTTCCTAGATATAATATCATGTCACATCCAATTAACAATGATACTCTCTCTTCCTTTCAAATATTTATTCTGATTACTCCATCTTCTCCTATTGCATTAGCTAGAGCTTTCAGAACAATGTTGAGTGATACTTGATAGAGGGTATCCCTATCTTGTTGCTAATTTGAAAGTGAAGGGTATTCATTCATTCATTCAACAAACATTTGTTGAATACCTTCACCTTTCCAGATACTGGGTTTGAAATCCTGCATGGCCACTTACTAGCTACATGATCTTTTTTTTCCTAACAGCTTTATTGATATAATTCACCTACCATAAACTTCACCATTTAAAGCTTACAATTCAATGGTTGTTAGTATATTCAAGGAGTTGTGCAAACCACTGTCATAATCCAATTTTAGAACATTTCATCACCCCAAAAGGAAACGTTGTGCTCATTCCTCATTCCCACCCCATACCTCCAGCTGCAGACAGCCACTAATTTACTTTCTGCTTCTATAAATTTGCCTATTCTAGACCTTTCATACACATGGAATCAAACAATATATGATCTTTGGTAACTATCTTCTTTTACTTAGCATGTTTTTAAGATTCATCGGTGCTATAGCTTGTATCAGTACTTCATTCTTTATTACTGAATAATATTCCTTTGTATGGATATACCACAGTTTGTTTATTCATTCATCAGCTGATGGACATTTGGGTTGTTTTCACTTTTTGGCTACTATGAATAATGTTGATGTGAACATTTGTGTACAAGTTTTTGTGCGGACGTATGTTTTCATTTCTCTCAGAAGTGGAATTGCTAGATCATATGGTACCTTTGAAGAACTGCCAAACTGTTTTTGGCATTTTACATCCCACAGCAATATATGAAGGTTCCAATGTGTCATATCCTCATCAACACTTAACAAGTCTTTTTTTTTTTTCTAGCCATCTTAGTGGGTGTGAAGTGGTATCTCATTGTGGTTTTGATTTCTATTTCCCTAATGAATGTTGAGCAACTTTTCATGTTTGCAATGGACTAAATGTTTATGTGCCCCTCCCATTCTATGTTGAAATCCTAACCCGCGGTGTGATGGTATAAGGAGGTGAGGCCTTTGGGAGGTGATTAGGTCATGAGGGTGGAGCCCTCATGAATGGGATTAGTACCCTTATAAAAGAGACCTCAGAGAGCCCCCTTCCACCTTTTGCCATGTGAGGACACAACAAGAAGATAGCCATCTATGAATCGGGAGGCAGGTTCTCACCAGACACCCAATCTGCTGACGTGTGGGCTTGGATTTCCCAACCTCCAGAACTGTAAGAAATAAATGTTTGCTGTTTAAGCCACCCAGTTTATCGTAGTTCATTACAGCAGCCTGAACACACTAAGACAATGTGTTTAATTGACCATTTGTATGTCTTCTCTGGAGAAATATCGGTTCAAATTCTTTGCCTATTTTTTAATTGGATTATTTGTCTTTGTATCATTGAGTTGTAAGCATCCTTTATATATTCTGGATACAAGTCCCTGGTCAGATATGTGATTTGCATATATTTTCTCCCATTTTATGGGTGTCTTTTCACTTTCTTGGTGGTGACCTTGTAGCACAAAAGTTTTTAATTTTTATGAAGTCTAATTTATCTATTTTTGTTATTGTTGCTTGTGCTTGTTTTTAAACATCTTTATTGGAGTATAATTGCTTTACATTATTGTGTTAGTTTCTGCTGTATAACAAAGTGAATCAACTATACATATACATATATCCCCATATCCCCTCCCTCTTGCGTCTCCCTCCCACCCTCCCTATCCCACACCTCTAGGTGGACACAAAGCACCAAGCTGGTCTCCCTATGCTATTTGGCTGCTCCCCACTAGCTATCGATTTTACATTTGGTAGTGTATATATGTCCATGCCACTCTCTCACTTCGTCCCAGTTGCTTGTGCTTTTGATGTCATAGATGTTTCTTTCCCCATTGAATTGTACTGAAACCCTTATCTAAAATCAACTGACCATGAGTGTAAAGGCTTATTTATGAACTCTCAATTCTATTTCATTCATCTATATGCCTCCTTTATGCCAGTACCATGCTGTGTTGATTTATATAGCTTTGTAGCAAGTTTTGAAATAGAGAAATGTGTGTCCTCCAACTATGTTCTTATTCAGTGTTTTGGCTATTCAGGTTCCTTGCATTTCTATCTGAATTTTAGGATGAGCTCATTACCCTCTTCAAAAATGCCCCTGGGATTTTGATAGGGATTGTGTTGAACCTGTACAACATTTAGGGGAGTATTGCCATTTTAATGATATTAGGTCTTTTTATCTGGGCATTTTTTTTAGCATAATGTTTTCTGGTGATTTTGGGGGTAGTAGTTGTAATATTTACACAGTTCTTTAATGTTCTTATTTTAATTTGTATTTTTATTAGGAATAGCTCCTGAATTGTGTCAGATGCTTTTTGATATTCACAGCCTTATGGTATTATTCTCTTTAATTGGTTGTTGTAATGAATTACATTGACGTGTAATGTGGCTGCATCTTTGCCTTCCTGGAAGAATTCTGTTTGGTCAAGGGGAATTTTTCTTATAAGATACATTTGGATTTGAATTAGTAATATTTTATTTAAAATTTTTGCCACTATAAGAAAACTGCTTATAGTTTTCTTTTCTTTTTTCTTTTTTTGTACTATATTTAACATGTGTTGGTACTAAGGTTATGGCAGTTTTTAAAAGGAATTCAGGAGATTTCTATCTTT